CTAAGTCTTGCTCCATCTTACTTGCCCAGCTGGTGTATTTCAGGACAGATTGTCGGAGCGAAGCGGAAATCCGCACTCTTTGGGTTGTGTAAATCCCTTCAGTGTTTGGTGGGATGCTGTGAGTTGAAGTTCGGGGGATAATGCTGAGGGCGTCTGTCACGCGGTGCTGGACATTCCGTCTCATGCTGAATATGGGTTAAAATTGAAAGTGGGGAGGTTTGGATTAGGTATCAGGAAGAAATTCTTCCTGGAGAGGGTGGTGAGGCACTGGCACAGGTTGCCCAGAGAAGCTGTGGATGCCCCATCCCTGGAAGTGTTCAAGGCCAGGCTGGATGAGGCTTTGAGCAACCTGGTCTAGTGGAAGGTGTCCCTGCCCACGGCAGGGGGGTTGGAACTGGATGGGCTTTAAGGTCCCTTCCAACCCAAACTATTCTGTGATTCTATGATTCTATGAATAGGCTATTAAAAACGGTGAGAAGATGGGAGGTTTTCAGGTAGGAGTTCTGCACTTACGCAGAGATCATTTTGATGATAGTGTGTGCTCATCACCACAAAGTTTAGTTGTTTTTATGACTGAATACAGTATGGACTGTCATGTGGAATTCCATATTGTAGCAGCATCCTAGAACTCTCCTACTTTAATTACTTTGTTGTGGGGAAAAAAGCAGTCACTACTCTTTCCGTATATGTCTCATACCGTGAAAACTTAATTAGTGATGAAAGCACAAAACTGGGACTGGCCATCTTAACTGTGCTTAGAAACCAAAGAAAAGAATCGGAGCAGAGATGGGCAACAGTTGTCTGTCTTCCTTGGAAGTGCAGGGAACACGGGCAAAGCGGTTGATGGTGGAATTGGCGCTTCTGCAGCAGCGCGTTAACTATTTTCTTCGGCTGCGTTTAGGCTGAGTGCCATGTTGGGCAGTGGCTGTCCCTCACAATAGTGTGGGCACCATGATGCTCGTCTGAGTGGCCTCCCTGCTTAGCTCAAATCAAGCAGTTTGATCCAGCCCTTTTCAGTCTGGCCTTCGGCCCATGATTGAATACTGAGCTTTAACCAAACAGTTGGATATAGGGCCCATGTTTCGGGGCAGGAGAGGGTAGGGTGCTCAGCGCACAACACACGGTAGAGCTTTCAGACGAGCTAAGAACAGTCATTTACTTGCTCTAATGTAAACTTCTCCTGCAGCTTTGTTATAAATGACAGCATTAAGGCTTCTTAAAACAGCAATTATGGAATGTAATGAGGAGGTAAAATTAAACTCTGACTTCATAAGATTCTCCTAAAAAGATACGTGTCACTAGCCAGATGCTAGAGCAGACTCCCTTCCCTATTGTCGTGCACACTCACAGCTTAAGAAGTTACAGTGGACAAGTACATAAAGTTTTTGCCAGCCCTTTGACTTCATGTTTGGTATTTTTTGTGGTGGGTGGGTGTTTAGTGTTGTGTTTGTTGTGTGGATTTTTTTTTTTTAAAAAAAACCCTCTTGTTCAAGCAACTTTTGAGCAGTTCATGCAATTTCAGTGCTTTTCATGAAAAAAGAGAATCTGGGTTGTGGTGTGTGAAGGGCAGAGGAGTGTGAGATAAAGGAGTCCGGATTAGGGCAGAAAGGAGAGCGATGGGCATGTTGGGAAGGCCGTGCTGATGGACAGGCCAGTGCGGATGGATTCCTCAGGAGGGGAGGGATCCTTGTGTCAAGTAAGCCAGTTTGTAAAATTGGGCCTGGCTACAATAAACACTTCCAGCCTTTGTTCCAGCCCTGAATTTCCTCTCGTTTACCATCGAGTGAGGGGCATACAGGAGTGGCGAGCGCAGTGCGGCTGATAGGGCTGGGTGTACGCCTGTCCCAATAGGTCAGGTTGCCTGGCTGTCGGCAAGTACGCGGATCCCAGATAGCTTGTTCGGAATGTAACTGCTGCAGCCGCAGGGTGAGGAGTAGCGTCTGGCATTCGAGGAGATCGGTGCCCCTCTCCATCAGTCCAGGAATTTGTCAACACAAATCCGCTTTGCTCACAGGTGTCTGACATCAAATGATGCGATAGCGCTGCTTCTTATCTTTCTTGCTTTTCTGAGAGGCAAAAATTGGAAGGTGGATGGATTATTTTTTTTATTCTTTGGGATCGTACCTACAAACTGGAAATGGGATCGTGAAATAACCCAGATCGTTAACATTATACACGAAATTCAAAACCTCAGAACTTGTTAAATCACCTGCACCGAGTTCATGTGCGTACTTCACTCTGAGCCTGTTAACGTTCCGCGTGCATGCGTGTGCAACAAATTCTTAAGTAACTCGTCACTTAAATAAACTTTTGGCCCAACAAACTCACCCGTTTGTACAGCAGAAATCTATTAGTCATTCTGTGTTTATGCTGGAGTTAGCTTGAACTCTGGCCAAACGTAGCATTCTGTCTCCAAGTCTAGATTCCAGCTCTGAATTACTAATAGTTTGTGGCTTTGAAATGCTGCCAGATGTTGGCACTTACAAAAGAATCTCCCGTCAGTGTAAACTGAAACAGAAGATTCTCCTCTTTTCTGCCGTGTAGGTTCAAAGTTTTGTTTTCTAAGAACGAGGCAGCGGGTTTGCTGCTTCTTAGCAGCTCTCAGCTCGCTGAACTCTGCTGCTGAACACGTGTGCGGGTGCACAAACGACATGCTCATGGGGTAACTAATGCACAGGTTGTGTATAAAGCCACTGTAGCTAACGAACGCATTAAATAATTACTCGCGAAAACACCTAGGAGGAAGGGACCGTAAGGTGACAGATCTGTCTGCGCGTAAACCATCGCGAAGTAACAGACCAAGCAGGGTGAATAATTACCTAACGGCAAACCTTCAGGGGCAAACAAAGGAGCTCTTGACCACTTGACCAAAACGGAGGGCGGTTTAGGCTTGGGTGGGCTCACTAACCAAACCAGCGCTGTAACCTAACTGGGGTAGAGCAGCGCCAAAGGCCTGCCTGTGGAATAACAACATATGGATCCCCCGTGGATTTTCATTCCTTTATTACTACGTCTTTGTCTTACTTGTTCCAAAGAACTGGTGGTGTTCTCCCCAATAGGAAGCACGCTCATAGAAATGTAATTTGGCAATTATTTGTGCAAACTTAGGGAGATATTTGAGACTCCGCTTACTGTAAAACGTGAGTGGTGGCATCTCGGCAGCCCGGGCTGTTACTCTGAGCTGATAACAGCACCGTGACAGCTGGGTCTGTATGAAAGTGCTGAGTTCCTTTAATGCTTTCGGTGGGAAAGTCGAGTTGTTGAGGTGGGAACGTGTTGGATGCTTATGGAAGTTCTGGCCAAGTTACCTATCTGAGCCCAACTGAAATTCCACTTGTTCCAGAATGTGTCTTTTCTAGAGCAGTGAGGTTAGAGCTGCTGGCGTTGGCAGCCAGCTGCAGCTTATAGGCCAGCAAACACACGCACTCTGTAGAAGACCCAGGTAACCACACTTCAGGATTGTGTTGTGCTGTGTTGCACTGAGCACACCCAGGTGAGCGTGCCTTTAGTCACTCACACGCTTCACGCTTACGGGTATTTCCTTATAGCGCGTATGAACTATGCTTGTTAGAGGCTACATGGGGGTTTGCTGCTGCAGAGATTCTGCTGCCAATAGAAGTTTCTCATCCACCTGGATCGTGGAAGGGTGGAGGTCCTTTGGAGGAAGACTCCAAGGATGTGACACTCTCCTGTAAGCAGCTTCACGTGCCTTTTAGAATCACAGAATGGTTTGGGTTGGAAGGGACCTTAAAGACCATCCAGTTCCAACCCCCCTGCCATGGGCAGGGACACTCTCCACTAGACCAGGTTGCTCAAAGCCTCATCCAGCCTGGCCTTGAACACTTCCAGGGATGGGGCATCCACAGCTTCTCTGGGCAACCTGTTCCAGTGCCTCACCACCCTCTCCGTGAACAATTTCTTCCTGATATCCAATCTAAATCTCCCTGCTTTCAATTTAAACCCATTACCCCTTGTCCTGTCACTACAGGCCCTTGTAAAAAGTCCCCCCCAGCTTCCTTGTAGCCCCTTCAGGTACTGGAAGGTCCAATAAGGTCTCCACGGAGCCTTCTCTTCTCCAGGCTGAACAAGCCCAACTCTCAGCCTGTCCCCATAGCAGCGGTGCTCCAGCCCTCTGAGCATCTTCGTGGCCTCCTCTGGCCTCGCCCCAACCAGTCTGTATCCTTCTGATGTTGAAGGTTCCACAGCTGGACACAGTACTCCAGGTGGAGTTGAAGACTCCTTCCACTGCAGATCAACAGCTAATGCGTTGCCATTCTGGTATGGAAGAGCTACTGCTTTTAGCATGCTCTCCTGAATACTGAATGTTGCCCTAAATTAATTGTCCCCTGCTGAATTATCCATGTTTTCCAAGTTGAGTCTCTTCGCTTCTTGACGTTTTATTTATGTTGTCTTACCGCTTGTCCTTTCCCTAGTGTGACGATGGATCCACTTACTGAAAGAAGGAATAAATTATTTTTACCTGTTACTTTTTCTTTGAAGAAATGTGTTTCCTAATCCAGGCTTTTCTGAAAGACTTACAAAGTAAGAAGGCTACGACTTTAAAATCCCCAGCTGTTTTCTGCGTGCGAGAGGTTTTTTGGTGGGGGTTTTTTTTGTGATTTTTTAAAAAATATTAACCTGAATTGTAGTTTCTGTCTTTCATGTAAATTTTCCTTTGGGAGAGTTTCTCTTTTGGCAAAGGACTCCTGAGCCTCCGCCAGCTGCTTTCTCTCGGACAGTCCCAGGCAGGCTGTTTTGACACTGCTTTTGTTTCTCAGTAAAACATAAAAATCCGTACCTGTTCATGGTAAGAGATTTGGACGTGGTGCTTCAGGGAAAAGAAATCGGGTGTATCACTTCTTTTGTTAAATGATTGTGTCTTGTCTTCAGCTGCATGTTATCTCCAGGGAAAAAAAAGTCTTTTTAGAGGTATGTTACGGTACACTTTTAGCAATGTACGTTTTGGAGAGTAAGCAACTGCTGAAATAATCATCTTACAGGTTACATGTCTTGCCTGTGACAATAAATCAAATACCATAGAACCTTTCTGGGACCTATCCCTGGAGTTTCCGGAGAGGTATCACTGCAACGGCAAGGAGATGTCGTCTCCGTATCCATGTCTGCTGACTGAAATGCTGGCCAAGTTTACAGAAACAGAAGCTTTGGAAGGAAAGATATATGCGTGTGACCAGTGCAACAGTGAGTAAAGGCAGTATGTACTCATGCATACGTTCTCTGTGTAAAACATAAAGTGAACCGACTGCGGAAGCGCGGCGAGTCTCAGAAGGATGCTGCAGCCCAAGTCCTGCTGTGGTCGTCGCTTGGTGGCTTTTCATTACCACCTAGAGGATGGGGCGGCTCGGAGGGTGTTGTAAAGTGTGACGCTGCTTTTGTCTAAAGTCTGATCACATGCTAACGGGGATTCTGATACTCCCAGCTGAAGAACCCATCAGCTTTTTAAATTAAGGTGACTAGCCTGTGTGACCACACGTATTTTATACCTGCATCATAAAATACTCCTTGCAAACTGGCTCTCGGAGCGTGCCCTTTTTAAGGAGGCACAGACCGTAGCTATTCAGGTCCACAGACATGGGGTGGATAAATCTTAGGCTGAAATACAAGGCTGGTTTTGAGATTTGTATTGTGTAACTGTGTGTTTGGCTTCAGCAAAACGAAGGAAGTTTTCTTCTAAACCAGTTATACTCACAGAAGCTCAGAAGCAGCTTATGGTGTGTCGACTACCTCAGGTTCTCAGATTACACCTTAAACGGTTCAGGTAAGTGCTACCACCACAGTGTGGCAGACTGACCGCTTCAGCCCTGCTCTTCCGGTGTTTGGGATCGATGTTTTTCAGCATCAGTTTCACTTCTCTTTACTAGTGTGATGAGAAACAGTTATTAGAAACTCCTTGTTTCATTAAAACGCCTGTAAGATACGCTATAAGTGGAGAGTTGACTTCCTGGATTCCAACTACTTTAATACCTACTACTAATTTAATACCTGCTCCAATTCCTACTACTTTAATACTAAGATTATTTCATCCTTCTTTTTAGTCAAACCCTACTAACCTTGCTGTGGTAAAAACTAACCTTGTGTTACCTTCAGGTGGAGTAAATGCTCATACTCACGTACAAACCCAGATTGCATCCGGTGGAAGTGTCGCGTAACCTTCGTGTAACCAAACACCTCAGTGTGGCAGCCTGAGAGTAAGGAAGGGGAGACGGTGTCTCTGAACTCTTAGTCCAGGCGTCAGTACAGTCTGGCCTGAACACAAACGAAACTGAAAATGAGCTAGAGTAGATGAGAAGGAGCAATGAGATGTAATCCGTGGGAAGTCCTTGCACTTACCGTTACACACATCTTAGGGTGGATGTTTCGGAAGATGAGAACGGTAGGTACCAGAGACACATTCTGAAAGGCCTTGAAATAAAGGAGAAGTGAAAGAGGAGGCCTAGGGAAACAAGGGTGCAAACTAGCGTTTATTTTGTGCACGAAGACGATAGCGAAGGTAACACTTGTTGTGTTAAGGCATAATCCAGAACGCTTTTTTCCTCGAAAAAAGAGGCAAATTTTCATTTGCCGTACCTGTCCAGGTGGTCAGGACGCAATCACCGTGAGAAGATTGGCGTCCATGTCAATTTTGACCAGATGCTGAACATGGAGCCTTATTGCTGCAGAGAATCCCTCAAGTCCCTCCTGCCCGACTGCTTTATCTACGACTTATCTGCTGTGGTAATGCACCACGGGAAAGGATTTGGCTCGGGGCACTACACTGCCTACTGCTACAATTCGGAAGGAGGTAGGAACCAGCTGTGAAATCTGTGGGAGTGTGGGAGAAAGGGGTGTTGACAGCTGGCAGCTTACTGCCTTTCCTCAAGCACAAAAGGAGTTGCTGACCCGCCTGGCCCGAGGACTGCCGTTCTGTAGACGGCAGCAGTTCGGGAGGCTTGTTCCCCGTGTTCTGGCTGTAAGCCCTCAGGCAGCTGGGGAAGCTAAGCTGGCCTTCTGAAACGTAAAGGCCAGTACGCTGGATCAGCTGAAAAGGTGTGTCATTTCTATGCAGCTTGTTAAACGGGACTCCCTAATTATTAACGACCATTCATTTAGTTCAGATCAGCGTCCTGATGAGTGGCTCTGGTGTGTTTTTCACTGCAGGATTCTGGGTACACTGCAATGATTCGAAACTCAACATGTGCACTATGGAAGAAGTATGCAAGGCTCAGGCTTACATTCTGTTCTACAGCCAGCGACTCACTCAGGCAAACAGCCGTGGCGCACGGCCGTGTCCCAGCACAGCTGAAAGCCAGCCGCACGCGGAATTAGCTGCCTGCTCCGCGGACAACAGCAGCAGCCAGTCCAAAGCCAGTTAACTGCCTGTATAGTACAAGTTTGAATCGTCACAACTGTATCTTTTGAAATGAAATGCAAGTACAGTATTGTACTTTTTTACTTGGGATCCGTGTACAATGTTTATATACTTTTGTATTAGTGAAGCTACTCTTTACGATTTTAGCAAAAGTTTTTATTGACAGTAACTTTCTAAATACCTAGAATTCAATACAGCTTTTTTTTTTTTTTTTTAAGAAAAAGATTGCTATTTGCATTTAACTCTTACCTCAGGCTGTTTTTATAAAGCTGGTTTTGTATTTTGATAATATTTTCTTGAATGGGTTTAAAAAAATGACTTGGAATGGGCAACTGATGTGTCTCTGGGTAACTTGCTGTATAGGCCTGTGTACATTTTATAGTAGAGTTCTGATGATCCCGTGATCCCTACCCTCGGCAGGAATTGCTACTCGGTCTTGGACCGTTCACGTTCACCAGCCGGGAACGTTGCACGTGCCAAACAGTACCTGAACTTTCTGTAGGGAACTTCTTCATATGCTTCCTGACTGAAGTTATTTTGCAAGCTGCAAGGGAACTACACTAAGGATACGTTGGTAGAACGTCATAAATCTGAAACTGAGGGAAGAGAGCATGTGCTCACACACTTAGGTGAAAGTAAGAGACTCCTGGGCTCCTATCTTTCCCAAGACTCCCCTGGTTTAGCCTTAGCAAGCCTGACAACTCAAGTGCCAAATTCAGAGCGCTAACTCTGACAACAGGGGCCTTTCAGAAGCTTTCTCAACTGACAACCCTGCACTTGCCCGCCCCGCCGGCACTGCCGCAGGAACGTTGGCACCCACGTTCTTGTGGCGCACAAGCTCGCTCCAGGTTGTGGCAAGCGTCGTCTGTCAGTCTCTGACGACACAAACCACTGAAAAGAAGCCGTAAGACTCGTATGAGAGCTTTTCATTCCGGCGGGTTTCATGAACTACAACTGCTGTACCTTCTCTGCGGTCCTACCACTAGCATTAATGGAACTGTGCGTTGAGGAGACCCTAACGAGCAGGAACGATCAGTCTTTCTCCACGTACAGGAGTTAATGCCAAGTAAATTTTAATTGTGAAGTTATTCTGCATAAGTCCTATGCAAATCGTTACCTCATCTTCTGCAAAGTTTATACCTCAATAAAATGCCTTGATGTGGACAGAGCACCGTGCGCGTACCTATGTTAGTTCCTACAGCACCATTAGTCTTGTTGTTAAACGCTGTCTGACCTGAGTTAAGGCATTAACCGCCAGCCTGCTCCCACCCTCTGGCACCGATTTAACAGCTGGGGTTTTCCATGACTCTCCCTACCATTTCTGTCCGTGTTTCTGGAAGATGCCACATCCCAGCAAGCATGCGGCCTCTGGTCCCACGCGTTCTTCGCGTGTCCTCATTAAATGTGCCAGAGCAGTGTGGTCTTTGCTGTCCTGCTGTGCTGCCCTTCCTGGCGAGGAAAGGACTAGCTCAGACACCTGTTTCTGGGGGCAGGCAGTGTAGGAGTGTCTCAGCCAGACACCGAGACCCCAGCATTAATGGAAGGGGCTGTCTTGGGGCTTGCAGGGAGCGAGGTGGGGTGACAGGACGTTTTCAGCCTCAGTCATCAGCATGAAGCAGATACTCAAGTCCCTTAGAAAGACTCTTGGCCGGGCATCTCTTCTAGAAGGATCACCTTGGCTGTGCTTGCGGCTGGCTTAGCCAAAGCAAATTCTTCCCATTGGCGCTCCCTGAGGCAGAGCAAGAGGGGGGAAGGAGGAAGGACCCACAGCCACACTCTGAACCCAAGCAGGGGGAAGAACAGAGGTGGCCGATGGCTGCAGCCCAGCGTAAGGACCAGCCAATTCAGGTGTGCTCACCACCACCTGCTTTGGCTCCGAACGCTTGCTGGCCTACAAGGATCTAGCGCTGCACCCTCCACCTAGGTAAGGCTTAAGCACAGCATGAGTCTGTGTGCATGTCCTCTGCCTTGCTGCACGCCAGTCAGTATTTAACATAGGCCTGAGGAGCCCAGGCAGCGCTCTGATCAAAGGCCACCCACCCCTTCTAGTTCTTGGGTGGGGATCCCACAACTCGCCCAGTTAAGGCTGAGGGTCCAGCGCCTATCGGCAACAGGGGTATGTCGGTCTGTTGTAACAAGGAAGCCCACCTGACGGTTCCAGAGCTGCTGCTCTGGCAGCCAAGCTCCTTACACAGGTTGAGAGCGAAGGCTCTGCTCTGCTGCCGAGCTGTCTCCAGCCCAGATACCTGCTACCTCCTTACCCAGAGCTCCGGGAGCTGCCCCTGCCGAGTTTCCTTTCATTGCACAAGCAATCGGTGCTTGCAGGAGCTTGGTAAAGCTGCTTCCCAGGCTGTGCTGCTGCCTGGGGCTGCTCCTGCCCAGGCACAGGACATGGCCTTTCCAGCTGCAGAAGTGCACGAGGATCCTGTCGGCCCATTTCCCCAACCCATCCCAACCCCTCAGGGTGGCAGTGTCCCCAGCCCGTTCCCCGCTGTCCGTCCTCTGCACACTTGCCGAGAGTACACTGACACACCGTGCAGGGCAAACTGGCCCATTCTTCATCTGAAACACAGTTCCATTTTCCAGTCCCAGGCGGTAAGGGATATATGCATCCAGAAGGATTGTCTCTTCTCTTACTTAGTGGTACAACGAGGCTTCTGTACCCCTCTCTCTCTCCAATTTAAAGGATTCAGAGATTTGGCCTGAGAAAAAAAAGTAACATGGCAAAAAACCACCAGGCAAAAGGCTTATTCCTCATTTAGGAGTGCTGATGAGCCTACATAGGCTGGGTGGGCGCTGTTCTTAGAAAGCACCGTGGGCTCACCAAGGGGAGGTCAGCAGCAGTGTAAAAGCAAAGCTAAAAGCAGTGACTTTTAACATCAGGTGTGAGGTGGGTGGCTGTCACGGCAAAACAAGGATCAGTTTCTGCTACAAAAATCTTGGAGGAGTCACAGCACCGTCGCCTCACTGCTTTACTTTAAAATCAATCAAACATTCCAAGTTACAGACCCAGCGCTGCCTCTTGATTCCGTGCAGAATAAAACCGTCTACAGATAAGAGCCATGCAGAAGTAACATGCAGCTTCAGAGCAGGCGGTGCGTTTCCTGAGTGAGAGGGTCTCCATCTTCCAGCTCGCCTGCACAGAATCACGGTGGTGTGGATGGACTTCAGAGTATACACTGCCCGCCTGTTCGCGGCCGGCCGAGCGATGCTCCGCGGGATGCCGAGTACCAAGTCGGAGGTGCGCAATCCTGGGAAAGGATTAACTGTAGAAAGCCTAACTCTCTTCTTCCCTCCTGTAAGGAAAACATTTGAAATCAGGAGGATTTGGCAGAGTTCCTCCACCACCTGTAAAAATTAAGCGAACAAATTCCAGTTGTGTTGACACCTCACTAAGTTTCCACGATCCCATCTTAACTCCGTTCTGGTGCTTCCGTGCAATTGGGATATTATTTTGACCTACTGAAGGGAACACAGCAAAGTGGAAAGATCCAACAGTTCTCTCGCTACGACAGCCACTCAGCCTCACTTCCCAGATGCCCTGTTTCGGCCTCCTCTTTGTGACAGTGACACTCGCCCTCACAATGCTGCACCCTCTGAAGTGGGGAGCACATACCCGGGGACACACCCCACAGCGCCTGAGCGCCGAGTTTTAGTAAGATGTGCGGCTAAAAACGGAAAAGCACCTTCTTGCCAGGTGGTATTTGTAGGCCAAAACGCAAAGCACGGAACTCCAAGGAAATGGACCATCAACATGCAAGCGGAAAAGTAGTTTTAAGGAGACCTGTGACTGGATACTACTACCTCTTGGAGGTGAGGAAAAGCAGTAGAATCTGGCCTTTAGCTGGAAAGCCCCTGTATTTTTAACGCAATCTTTTATTTTCTACAAAGCACCTGAACCGCAGCAGCTCTGAGAAGCAGCCGACCAAACCCACCACTCCCTGCATGATTCCCACTTCATGGCCGGCTGCGGTTGGAGCCCCCAGCCCCGTTTGCCCCACCCCATGCGACGAAAAGGCATTCGACAGGCCCCCCCGCACCCAGTGCCGGGCAGGCTGCCCAGGGAGAGCCCCAGCCACAGGCAGGCACGAGAGGCTTTCGCCCAGAACCTAACGCGGCGGGGCGCTGGGGCCGGGACAAGGCCAAGCTCGCCTGGCTGGCCGCAAGCAGCCGTTCAGCGTTTCAGCGACCCGGGGAAGGCTCCTCCCAGCCAGCACACGCACTGCGCTAGTACCACGCGAAACCCACAGCAAAGTAACTCGGCTGCTTTAGTCGGAAAACTGCTACAAGGCGCCGTGAAATTAACAGAAGACGTAATGAGGTTGAAGACTTACTTGAGCAGGTGATCAAAAAGTCAAGGGAGGAACTCCCAAAAGCCCACATCTAAGAGGAGAAGCATGTTGAGTCTGCAGTTAGCCTCCTGTTTCGGAAAATCTCAGGCCATGCCATTGTGAGAAGGACAGATCATCCGAGGCCAAGCTGTACTTTCCCCAATATCGGGTACATCTCACAAGGTCTGTGTGAGGGAAGAACCCCGCAGAGTAGGTTCTGAACCCTGGCACCTCTGAAAAACACACTCTCTACAAAAGCTATTCCCATTTCTGGTGCTGCACACGCTCGAGAAACGAGATGACGCCCACCTTCTGGGTATCCGAGGAGGACAGACTTCGGTACACAGTGCAAAGTGGCTGTGCTGCTCTGGATCTTCCTACTGTGTTCTGGGAACAGGCAGGGCAAAGGGAGGAAAGCAAACCACTGATCTGTAATACTGTGTTCTTTAGGTAGCCACCTGTGATGATAACAAAGCCTTATGCTGTAGGAACAGCACCAAGTGCCACTGAGCTAACAGACTAAATTTCCAGAGAGGAAAGTCTGCAGTTAGCAGGTGAGAGGCCGAGAACAGAAGCTGCTTGGTCTTAAGTGTTTCTAGCAGAGTTTGTAGCAAGCAGGCTTGTTACAGAAACAGGTAGGTGAGCGAAAAGCCATCCATTCCACGGGGACCTG